CTCGCCTTTTAGCTAACTGATTTGTACCGCTAACTTCAAATTCCCGCTCTTCTGCATTTCTGGATGTATCAAGATAGAAAAACTCATTACTAGCTGTCTTATCAACGTAAGATGGACTGTACTCAAGTAAGTTCTTAATATTAACCACGTGATTCGCGTCATTGCAATCATACACTTTCCTACCATTGAGCTTAATATCAAAATGTTTCAACAGTGAGTACGACCCGTTTACAATACCATTATGATCTGCTACTGCAATGTTGCCTCCATTAGCCAGCAAGACTACTTTAAAATCACGACTGATAAGAGCATTATACCAGTCAAATGGTGTAACCTCACCACTGTTATCAACAACAAACCTATAGCCATCTTTCTTCTGATGAGCATTATTGGAGACAGTTGTATTTAGTGCTGTTTCTAGGTCAAAAATAACATCTTCATATCGTTCAACATAGTTTGGATCTCTAAATGATTTCATATGATAATAGATTACATAAATCTTCTCATCTGACCCCCGGATAATAATTGATTCACCCTCTCATTAATCTCGTAATCGCTTAGCTCTCTTGATTGTGGATTTTCTATTGGTAACGCTGCTACTGGTGTTTTGGTGTTTTTATTCTTTTTGCTTAATAACTGAATAATTTTATCACCGGCCTTCTCGCCAGCATATTCACTGGTCTTAGTAGCAGCTTTCTGAAGGGCCTTTTTAGTTGCCGTTTCAGCAGCCTCTTTCATTGTCTTTCCAAACAACTTTCTACCAATCGTTTTGAAAATATCGGTAACAACACCTTTTCCATAAATATGCTTCTTAACATATCTCCCCGTTTTAACATCATACCGTTTCTTAAATTCTGATTGTCTCATTGTATATTATTAGGTTAGATATTATGCTGGTTTGGATCGCAATATCAATGTCATAAGCCAGTCAATCTTATTTAGTCCAATTGGTCGCCCCAGTGAGTCTGTAATATAAAACCTCATTTGACTGATATTTAGTTGTGAAACTTCATTAAACAATAGTCTTCTGAGTTCAAATGTGAATGGGAAGCTTCTTGTCAAATTGTCAGTTGGAATAACAGCTAACGTATTAGTATTAACACCATTCAATATGCTGTTCGTAATAGCATCGGTATTGATATAAATCATGTCAATGGAATTTGTGATATTAGGTAGATTACCATCCCCATATTCTGTTTTCTTCACAATTTTCTCTGTAAATCCAATTAACTCGCCAAATTTACTATTTCTCAGATCCAGTTGGTAATTGTTGTCGATCTGAATGAGAATCTTATATGTGGACAATACAAATGTTAGATTAATGTAGTGTACATCATCCTTCTTTGCATCAGTAGTTTTATGGCCTTTCTTTTTCATGTACTGATGGAGATAGTCATTTAGGTCTGAATAAGTGTACATCCCATCCACAAATTTGACGGTTTCCCATGATGTTCCACCATCAGGTGAGTATTTTATTTCATTATTTTGATACTGATCTGAAATATTGTGCCAACTGTAAGTCATTGTGGCCTTATCCGAGGCTATTTCATGTGTCATATTACTTTGAAGTTTTAAGACTGGATCAAATTTGCTTATGAAATCTTCTGCTTTATTCTGTCCGATTTTCTGTCTATTAACAGATGATATATGGATTGCTCTTTCTTGCATTTATATTATTAGATTACATATTCCTTCAACAGACTATTAAGCTGGTTGTTATTTAGAACACCTAATTTGTTTAGTGTGTGAGTAATTTTGGAAAATTCATTTTTGACACCATTATTTCCAGCCAATATGGATCCACCTAACAATTCCAATCTGTCCAGTAGGTCAGCTGGGTTATTATAATAAACAACCCCTGAACCGATTTTTTTGTATTTATTACTTGTTCGGTGAATTGGAATATCACTTATTCTGTTCAGGTCATCAAATATCATTTTTGATAATGGTGAATACTTCTTTCTACTATTGAACCGCTTTGTGAGCAGATCAAGGGTATCAAAGTCCACTTGCTTATCATAGACTTTTTTACCATCCTTATGAGCAATTAGTTTAAGCTGGCCATAAAGTTTGGGCACGTCAATGGTTACATTTCCATAAACACCAGTATTAGGGTTAATCTTATAGGCATTTCTCTTTTTTTGTGTATAAATACCCTGACCAACTTTCAATGTTTTTGCGCCTTCTTCTACAATACCAATTCGTTGTCTGTATTTTCTTATGATATCAATTCCTTCAGTATACTCGGCAATTTCATCCTTATTTTTCTTTCTGTTAGCTTTTGTTGTGCTCAAATGGGCTTTTTTCTGGCCCGATTTTACCAGATTTATCTAATATTTGTTTCGCATAATTTGGCTCTTTTAATGTTTGCAAAAAGATGTCAGCCGGTAATCGCAATTGCTGGTTTTGTATGAATGCCAATTCTTCTTGAGTAAATCCTTCATTCATATCACCTATCATTTTGGGTGCCACCTCACCACTTGGGCCTGGTAATGCTAATCTTTGAACTTGCTCAGCATATGGGACAACTTGTTTATTAACATCTTCTCTCAATTTAATGATTTCCTCAATTTCCTTATCAAACTTTTCTGTTACAGGTTTCAGGTCTTTAGCCACCTTTTCATATAAATCTTGATCTCTAGTTTCAACTTCTTTTATAACATTCCTAACAACTTCAGTCATTTTTCCTGCTTCAATTTTAGGAATACTGAGTCCCTTGAATCTTTCAATATCCATTATACTATTGTGTTATATAAAACTTATCTCAACTTATCTGAACTTATCTTGAATTATCTAACATAATATTATATGGAGATTCCAAATTATGATTTCAATGAAGATGAAGATACAAACTTCAAACAACTGTATAAGTATATGCCCAAATCAAATTTTAGGATGCTAATTTGTGGCAACTCAGGGTCGGGTAAAACAAACCTGCTTTATCACGTCCTTATGAAACCATTAGTCTACTATGACCAGATTCATTTATATGGCAAAAGCCTTGAACAGGAAAAGTATTGACACATGATAGAAACAATGAATGATATTAGTAGCCAGGTTGGATATGACATAATGCACTGCAATAATGATGACATTAAACCTGTAAATAGTCTGGAGAGCGATGCCCAGAAAATTGTAATATTTGATGACTTCATTTGTGATAAAAATCAAAAGCCGCTTATCGATTATTTCATTCCAGGCCGGCATAAGAACTGCAGTGTTATTTACCTTTCACAATCATTTTGTAAAACTCCAAAAGATATCAGACTAAACTGCAGTCATTATGTAATTTATGATTTCCCTGGCAGTAATGACAGAAATATGATTTCTAAAGAGTTGAATGTAACAAAGGACCAATACATTAAAGCCACCAAACAATCCTATTCATTCCTGTATGTTGACAAACCAATGAAGACTGTCAAAAGAAACTTTTATGGAAATATCTAATATACTGTTATAGAATGGGAATTTTTAATCAGCAGCCTAATTATAGTCAATCATTTTCAAAAGGAAAACGCAGAATAACTGGCCCTCAAGGACTGCCTGGCCCGCCTGGACCTGCTGGTGCTCAGGGTATTCCTGGCCCGACTGGTGCTCAGGGTGTCCCTGGCCCTACTGGCCGTAAAGGTGCTACTGGTCCCACTGGCCCTAAAGGTGCTACTGGTGCATCAGGCACTGGTTTTAATCTCACATCAGATGGGAATTATGATATGACAAGCAAAAAACTGACAAATATGGCTAAAGGAACTGCTTCCAATGATGCCGTAACTAAAAATCAACAGGATACTAAACTATCACTTTCTGGTGGTTTAATGACCGGCAATTTGGATATGAATAGCAATAGGATTTATAATGTAGCACAACCAGATGGTGATAATCAACCAGCCACAAAAATTTGGTCAGAAAATAAATTCCTGGATAAATCCAGTGGAGTTATGGCTGGACCACTAAAGATGTCCAATAATAAAATTACTCATCTTGCTAATCCCACAGATGATAAGGATGCTATATCCTGTGTTTTCGGTGATGGACGGTATGTTAAAAAAAGTGGAGATACAATGACAGGTGCATTATCAGTTCCAAATTTGAGTAGGAGCCAACCTTATGTACAAAAACGCCACAATGTTTTGAATTATTATAGTTAGGTCAATAATTTTTTTCCACAAAATGGAGGAAGACTTAGTAATGTAGGAGCTACTTCGGTTTTTATTTACAATCTTAAAAGTCCTCCTTCTGAAAGTTCAAGAAGTGATTCTTTTGCCATACCAAGAAGTTATGCCGATACACGCTATTATAGAAAATCTCAAGAAATAAATATGGGAAACAATAACATAACCAGTCTAGCCGACCCATCAGATGCTACTGATGGGGTTAATCTGAGAACACTGAATAAATATAATATAAAGCCATCTGATCACACTAACAGATTTGCATATCTCATGGACCCTACAAATGGTCTTTTACAATGGACTGATTTACTAACTGACAGTATTGCCCTAAACAGCATTGGTGATTTAGAAGCCACATCGGGCAACTATCATTCCTACAATAAAAAGGCGATTTTCGCATCCATTAAGAAGAATTCAGAGGGTGGTTATAAATGGTGATTAGCTATCCAATGCTACCCCCTTCAAAAGGATAAAGAATACACATTGTGTTTGGAAATCCTCACAACAGACACAGGGAATTTTTGGTAATTCCCAATTTGTGAATAAAGTGGGTAATTACAGGGTTTTCATTGTGTTTTCTTTGTGAATTTCCCATTTTGGGAAAATGATACCAAACCCATTCATGGGACAGAAATATCCCAAGTTTTTCCGTGTTGTGGGNCACAGGGAATTTTTGGTAATTCCCAATTTGTGAATAAAGTGGGTAATTACAGGGTTTTCATTGTGTTTTCTTTGTGAATTTCCCATTTTGGGAAAATGATACCAAACCCATTCATGGGACAGAAATATCCCAAGTTTTTCCGTGTTGTGGGAATTTATTGCCCCAATATTTTACCAAACATGGGAATTTAATGTCCCAGTATTTTCCGTAACTTGGGTATTGAATGTCCCACTTATTTCACTTGCATGGGTTTTCAATGTCCCAATAAATTCCTTGTCTTGGGATTTTAATGTCCCTGTGATTTCCCTGACATGGGGTTTTAATGTTCCATCATTTTTCCTGACATGGGAAATTAAGGGGCCATAAATTTCCCTGTTCTGGGTATTGAATTTCCCAGTAACTTCCCGTAATTGTGGTTTTAATGTCACACTTATTTCACCTTCATGGGTTTTCAATGTCCCAATAAATTCCTTTGCTTGGGATTTTAATATCCCTCTGATTTCCCTGGCATGGGGTTTTAATGTTCCATCAATTTTCCTGAAAAGGGAAATTTACGGGATATCAATTTCCCATTAATTTCACTTTCATTGGGATTTAATGTCCCAGCATTTTCCCTTACATAGGTTTTAACATCCCAGTTATTTCTCCGATGTTGCTTTTTACTTCCCCTTAAATGGGTTCTCACGTTCCTGGCCATATGCATTCTTTGCCCTTTACCCTAATAATGCTGTAGTTGATCATTCTGCAACAATGCATGGTAACAAGAACTGATTCACATTTATTTTTTATAACCAAGTACATCAATTTTAAATTTCTAATATTATTTTAGCTTGGCCTTCTTATATCTTATAAATGTACATGTCAGAGCCTTCATTTAATGCCCTATATGTTTTAACAAATACAAAGTGGTCAAAATCATCTAAAAATCACTTTCATCAAACGTTATAAATTTGACAGGTTCAAACAGAAACAAGATTATCAATGTTAGAATCAACACAACTTGGACTGTATTTTTCAAGGCCTCAGCAGTTCAAAAAAAAGAAATTTCTTTGAGTACAATTATATCTTCCTTATTCTTCCCTTCTCCTTTTAATTTGCAATAATTATGGCGTACCAATTTTCTAGCTAATACATTCAGTAGCTCTGTTGGCTTTAAATTAGTTATCATCTTTTGCTGCACAGCAAACTTTTTTTTAAGGACATGCGTAATATCATCTCTCTTTAAAAGTTTACCAATCACACCCTTTACAATGGCTTGGTTCAAAGCCAGGTTTGATTGCCAAGCCTCTTCTTCCACACTTGCAACTTTTGAGTTAGCTTGAGTGGACGGGGGCGATTCATGATCACTTGCACTGTTTTCATCCTCATGGACAGATTCAGTATCACCACCGTCAACAGAACTATCATCTGCGGATGAGCCTGCACTACTTGGAGTCACTTCTCCACTTGCACACTACAAAAAGAAACAGTTAACAAAGAAATGATAAGTGAAGTGTCCCTGTAACTGAACTCTTTGCAGCAACCGTCTTCCAAATCATATCAACAGGTTCTCCCAGTTTTCATGAAATTTTCATGGTTCACATGGAAACGTCTGGCCATGAGGGTTGAACTTCTTTGGATAGCTTTCAGTTCCCAGTTGCTTTTATAAGTGGGCATGAATAGCCAGCACAGATTATCTTGTAACACTTTCCTATATTTTAAACTTAAGGGGTGGCCTATCAGATACATACTTGCTCCACTTTTTGCTTCTTGATTTTCTTCACCACAAACTCCAATTCAGACTGAAATTAATAAAAATTTCAAATACAAATTTGAAAAATACCTAAAAGGTACTTTACACTAAAGCTAGATAAGGGAACTTTATTTGCCCCTGGCACTGGAGATCTTGTCAAGCCTGGGAAAATACTAAGAAAACATTCAGAGGAAAAGCAGACATTGAATTATCTTTTTGGCCATAATCACATGCTTAACGATATAGAACATATTATTCAAAAACAAGTGATAACATTGGTAAGAGATACATACATCTTCCACCTTTTGCCTCTTTCTTTTCTCCTTCAACTCAGTTTCAGTCTGAAATTGTGTAGATAAAACAGGGTCTGTTGGTCATGCCGTTTCACTTGATATGTTTTAGTTATGTCATTAAAGCAATATTACAAAACAATCTAACTCATGAAAGGAAATTCAAATTAACTGTAAACTTACACAAGGGAATAAGAGAAGCAAGTACAATTTAAAACCCCCGTGGCAAGCTCAAAATTAAACTCAAACATGAGTAAGTCTTTTTTTACAGTTAAACTTATTATCTTTAATTTGCTTTGACAACAGTTCAGTTCTCACATTACCTACTGTTAACGAAAAGAAAACATATTGACACTCTAGTCAATCTGCATCTGTGTACTGAAAAAATAAATGTAACAAACCTTGCAGGGTGTTTGAGTTTTTTTATTCTTTTGGTAACGGCGTTGTTCACTGAAGTAAGTCTGAATGTGTCTCGCAATACCGTCTTCACCAAAATGGATTTCGGGTATCCCACATTCAGGAGTAATTTCTGTAGCGAATTCTGCCAACTGTTTTTTTGTTTCTGGTGAGTTGAACTTTGGCAAACTCTTTCCCCATCTTTGTGTTGCAAGTACACCAATCCTCTTTCTCCTGAATTTGTAAATAAAATATGGGATAAATGTGCCTTTTAGATAGATAAGAAGTTCCATGAACCACGAATAACACTGAATTTTTACCAAACTGTGTTGTTTCGATGTTAAAAGGTTATTTGGGTACCCCTTTAAAAGTTCGCATTTTTCGCACTGTTTTCGCCTTGTTCGCACCCAGAAATAATGGTCTGGATAACTTTCCTAGAAGGCTGTGAGGATGCGTGCGAAATGGTGAAAACTTGAAAATCTACGAGTTCAATGGAGGAGGAAAACTTACTTCAAGAAATTTAATGTAAGTTAGTTGCTGATTATCAGGTTATAATATAGAAACAACCCAGATAATGCATAACTTACTTGACCAAATAAAGCTGTCTCATTTCTGGCGACATAGATGACATGTCCGCCATTGTTGGCTTGTAAGTAGGCACTGCTGGGGAAGATGGCCGCTTGTGGAAATGTCTGCCATGTGTTACTTGGAATTCTTTCTTAAATCGCACAGCTTTACCGTAGGTGAAACCTAATTTCGCAAAAAAATAGGGGCGTCGGCTTCTCTTTCCGCTAAGTCGGTAATTAATTGCCAGTCACTGATTTCTTCTTCTGTAACAGTGAAACGAGAACACAATCAAACTTAACTTGTAATAAGCTCGGCTTCCAATTCATAATAAAATCATGTAATACAAATAACCCACTGCAAAAGCAGAGACAACAGCTAATGAATCAGTTCTTACTTTCTAGAGCCACGAGAAAGCGAAGAGGTTTATCCCTCGCATGAAATCGTTATCGAAAAAGCATCAGTAGTCCCCTTGTTGAAACTTCTGACGGTAGAGGTTCTAATAGAAGGAAGAGCGAGTGGTTGAGCGAACGGTAGTGGCGAAAGATTCGCACGAAGGGAGTGGAGAAAGAGGGCGAATCTATGTGTTGGCGCGCGTAAATACTGAACTGTCGTCATCTGTCGAGTGTTTTGATTGGTCACTGTTTCCTGCCTTTTTCGCTCTATCATTCTAACGTTTCTTATTGGTCCAAGATGAAAAAACGCGGAGCTCTGGGAACTAGAAGGTTGTTGAAAAAATGGCGGCCAAGCGAGAATGTTGCTAGAAGATGGATTCTGAGGCTGTTCACACCTGGACTAGAGGAGAAGTTTCCTCTTGTAATTCTTCGGAAAAAACGTACAGACATGTGCACTGCAGATGCTTGCGTTGTAAGGGAAAGGCAGCGACAAGAAGCATAGAATTGCGACATTGGTCAGAGGCTCGATTATTAGATGCAGGTTCTACGGGCACTGTTGAGTTTAATTTCCACTCAGGTGGAGGATCGGACACAAATGGTCCTGAAGAAGGAATGGACATCGGCGAAGAAAGGACTGACTTACTGGAGGTACTGGAAATGGATGAAAATCCTGATGTTGAGAGTGATTTAGTTGAAAAAGACGCGTCGAACAACTGCAATACTGAGAATGTAAACCCTTTGAAGAAACTTGTTGTCAAGGCTGTACTTGAGGCACTGAGTATTATGGACAATTCCGGAGCCTCGATAAAGACATTTGAAGATATCCTTGCATATGGGAAAGCAATGCTTTTGGAATCAATTTCAAGTGACATTGATGTTGATATTCTCTTGGCATTGTGGTCAAAAGACTGGAAAGCTGTCCAATTACTTCTCGAGGAACAAGGTTATTCAGATGCCAAAGAATTTTACATTTGTATCTGTAGAGAAGAGAAAGAGGTGCGGAGATGCGGAAAGACAAGTGTTAAGTATAACTACAGTCGCAGTTGGAGTGTCATGAGCAGCAAAGATGAACTATGCCCTCATTGTGGCAACGGTGGTTACATTAAATATTACTATCTTGGGTTAAGTAGCAAGGTTAAAAACTGGTTCAAGACAAAAAGTATGCGCAGAAAAATGCTGAGTCATTGGAAGGAGAAAGAACACTGGCTTGGAAGGTCTTCAAGCTGGCCCCTCAAAAAGGAGTTCTGGGATGTCCAAAGATGGGTAGACCTGCAGTGGTTTTTTGACCCTAACCAGACGTGGCTTCTTCCTGGAAGATGTGGCAATTGTAAAGCTGTGATTTCAGCGGAAAGTATTGCCAGTTGTGAAAAGGCTGAAAGTGGATTGTCTTATGTAAAGTGCCCAGAATGTATGGAGACAGTCCCTTGTGAAGTGAAAACTGCAAATGGTTCTCCTCTAAATGTAGCCCTAGTGGGTCACTGGGATGCTTGGCAGCCTTTCAAAACAGGACTTAGGAGCTGTGGCTCAATTGAAATTTCAATTGCTAATATGTGTAAAGAAGATCGCACGCATGTTGAGGAAGTCTATGTCGTGGGATTTGTGCCATGCACGTCTGTTCCCAATAATGTGCCTGAAGCTTATGATCCATTTCTGGAACCACTTATGCATGACCTCTGTAAAGGTTTCATTGATGGGTTTGAAGTAACATATCCCCCTGGCGTTACCATAGCTGACTATGAACCACGTGAAGTGGAAACTGTGAGAGTTTTGTTGCTTTGTTGGACAGCAGACCATCCAGGTCAATGTGAGTTTGGAAAATTTTTAAATCAAGGCAAATGTGGCTGTAGGAGATGCAAGGTTACTGGGCAGCAAAGTGAATACTGTAATCGCTATTACTATGGAAACAATCTTTATCACTGCCGTTATCCATGGGCAAGGAGAAACATTCAACATGAACTTGATAATCTATATGATGTTGACAATGAAACCCGAAAAAGTGTGAGGAAAACTCTGTCCTCTGAGATAGGTTTCACTGGAACAAGTGTTTTTCATAGATACCTGTATCCACTTTACGGATTTGACATTTTGCAACATATGGTGATTGATGTTTTTCACACAGTTTTATTGAATCTATGCAAAAACCAAACACAGAGGATGTTAGAACTTGAATTGATTGACATAACTTACCTTGATGAAAAACTGAAGAGTTTTCCATGGACAAATGAGCTTAAAAATGGAAGAATTCCAGTTGCTGTTGGAAAGGAAGGTAAAGGTTTAAACTACTGGAAAGCTGAGGGCTTTCAGAAATTTTTCTTTCCAATGCTGGAATGCATTGTAGAAGGAAAGATGGAAAACTTGACAGAACTTGAAATTGTGTGCTCTGTGTCAAGGTTTGTTGAACTACACTTCACAAGTGGGCGAGATGGATGGAGTGATGAAATGATCGAGATGCACAGAAAGCTGGCCCAAAGAATCAATGTAAAAATTGAGGAAACACAAGGACTTGACATGTGTACAGTGTCAGTGCACAATATGCTGCACATCCATGAAGATATAATTAACTTTTCTGCAACAGATAACTATTGGTGCGCTGTTTTCGAAAGGGCCGTTAAAGACTACATCAAAAGGTCCAACAATTGTAAGGGTGTAGAAGCAACGTTTGCTAAAGCTGAAGCCCGTAGAGAGTTTCTGAAAAGTCTGGAAGAAGATGATAGTCAACTACAAGAAAGTAATACAAGTCAGGTGAGGTGACTTAATGTACAGCAATAAAATTCAGTGAGTGTGATCACAAAGTTTGAGTTAATATAATTATTTAATACTTTTAATCAATCAAAATAAGAATTATAATAATTGTAGTAATAATTTGCTTAGATGTGCTAAATCCATTAATAATCCAGACAGAGCACTTTGCAAATTGATTGTAAGATACGTGTACTTGGTACATTTTTACAGGTAAAAGTGATGACCAGCAAAAATATATATTCATTTCATGTGGTTTTGCCAATCAGCTAGTTTTGCGAGGCAAGTGAATTAAGCCCCCAAGGCACTGAGCAGAGGGAGTTACTCTTGAAGCATCAGATCAGAACAGGGGCATAGCTACCTAACAGTAACACACATGCACCTGGACATATTGAAGATAACATGGAAAATACAGCAAGCTTGTCAGCTTAATTCATGATAATTATGTGGTCAAAACACCTCATTAAACAACAAAGATTATTATTACCTACATCTAGTTGTCATTTCATACCAAGTAAGAACCTCATTTGCATTAATAACCACAGCTGAAAAATATTTGGGGCTTTAAGGGAGAAGGAGGGAAGATCTGAAAAATCCAGGCTACACTATTAGGGAAATTGCAACTGAAGATTTTCTGCTTAGATTGCCAGTACTGTTACTATTTCTAATTTTAAGGCTTTATTGTTTTTCATAAGGGGACCTTTAGGTGTCAAATTTAATTTGAATCTCTTCTACTGATAGGGTGTCGTGCGCTCTGTGGAGATGGCTAGAGCAATATGCCGCAAGGATGGACAGCATTCCCTGTTACTTGGTTCATCAAAGAGAGTTTGTCAGTTGACCAGAGACGATCACATCAAGATTGCAGCTGCTCTGTCACTTTCTCCAACTGAAATATCAGCTGTTCCCACAATAACAAAGAAATGTTTTTTGATCAATGTCGGCCATGAAGGTGTGGTGCTATCAAGCAAGGATAGTATCATTGTCACTTTTGAAGGCAGTGATGAAGTGGTATCTGTTCACCATTTTTTGTCTGTTAGACATGAGGGAGGAAATTGTCTGTTGCTTGGGGAGGGCAGTGTAAAACCATTTTTGAGAGATGGCAATGGGCTCATTGCAGTGAACTTTTGGAATGGTTTCCCTAAAGTAGAAATGTAACCTGACAGTAGAACAGTCTTCTTTTCCACTGAAAATATTTCAAGAAAAGTTATGCTCTATGATTGTGGGAACAATACAGCCACTGTTGTTGATTACATGAGAAAACTGAGGAGCCTTCCTTATGAACTCATTGTTCCAGTTTACCCGGAGAAAGATGACATGTTGCTCATTCAAGGAGAGCTTCCTGGGGATATCTGGTATGGCAAAGCTCTAAATATTGATTGGGAAAGACTTGTGGTTGACATAGTGTTCTTTGTAGAGAAGCATCACCATCCTGGTAGATATAAACGAGAGACACTCGGAAGAACAGCTGTTAACAAAGTGTCTTTGGATTCAGTAACTGGAGTTGCACAGGGCCAGTGGATCAGTACAAACTGTTGGCAGAAGAATATCTGATCATGTCTCAAAATGCCTGAAAACAATTGTTAGAAATGCAGACACTACACTGAGTGTGTATTTAGAAGATCTGAGAGTAAAGTTCTGACTCTACAGGTATGACAGCTACAATCCCAGACAAAAGTTAAGTTGGGAAGGTTTTGCAACTTAACAGTAGTCCATTTTCACTTGTAAAAAAGAGAGTTTTCTCTTTTGCTAAATACCCCCAGTCCCCCCTATTCAATGTTGGGATATAACAGAACAATTATTACATGCTCAAACATAAACTTTTTGCTCAACATGGGGCAGGGTCGGAGGGGGGTGGAGGGGGGAGTGGGGAGGAAAGAAAAAAAAGGGGTTAAAAGTAGCAGCCTTCCCAACAGTTTTGATGATGATTGTAGTACGTGTACTG